AGGAGGATCTGCCTCCCGTGTGCCCCCGGAACTCCTCGCTGGCGTTGTTCGCTTCCCACTGGGCAGAGACAGGCCGACGGGCCCTCCCCCACACCCGAACGAGCGTGTTGAGGAGAGCGATCAGGCGCTCCCCCCCTCCTGGTTTGGGAAGTCGAACGAGCTTCGTCATGAGCCGAGCCTTGGGCCAGATGAGCAGCTGCTCGCAACGACAGAAGACGGCGGCCATCGCATCCAGGGCTGCGTCGGACAGGTGGTCCAGCGCCCGCGGGGCAAACCTGACCTGCCCCGTGCCCGCTGTCCAGCTGAAGGCGCGAACCGCACGGCGTACGTGCCTGCCGCTGAGAGGTGGCAGCTGGTCCCACACCTGGTGGTCGCTGGGCAAATCAATCACCCCGTCATCGTGCCTCTGCCAGTACTGGTTCCAGTGCTGCACCTTACGATCGGCCAGCTGGTACGCGTGCTGGACACCTGCGCCGTAGTCGATCACCTCCTGGAGCGCCAGTGGCTTGGAAAACTTGTGAGCACGACTAGCGCCGCCTTCGAACGACGCCTCGGCCCACGCCTGCCAACTGGCGGCTACCTTACTCTCATGCGCCCGCTGCTTGCCCTCTGCCTTGACAATGATGCGCTCGATTTGCTGGTCGAAATCCTCCCGCACGAAAGCCAGGAGCCCAAGCACAAAAAGATCGACAGCCGCCTTATCAAGATGTGGCCAAACATCGGAGCGAGCAGCAATCCTTTTCAAAAAACACTGGAACTCCAAAATGTGCCTCGCGGTCTTGTCGCACAGCTTGCTGCAGTAGACCCTCGGACGGGGGCGTGCTCCAGCTGCTGCCGCCACCGCGCAACAGGACGCAGCCGCAGACGACGCACCCGTAGCCGAGGAAGTCGATGGCGATGGTGCCTCCGTCCCTGAGCAGTTCAGCCCTGGCAACAAGAGAGCAGGAGGTTCGGACAGCTTCGTGATGAACGATGCGAGAGCAGTGCGGACACGTCGGAACTGCCGCGCCCAACGCGCTGCAGCAAGCCAAGCTGCCACGTCGGGCGCCTTTCTCTTCCAAGACTGCCTCTCGTCAGGGTCGAACCTGGCCCACTCGAACGTAGGTGGCGCAGGCTTGGACGTGAACTTTGACACCTGCGGTCCGACGACATCGTAGCGGCCCTGCAGCTCGAACTCGATGCCCAGCAGCAGCTGGTCCCACACGTCGGCCATCTGCTCCGAGGAGGTCACCTGCCTGATCTGATTCAGCAGCGGGTCCCAGTCTGGCGGCGGCCTGGCGCAGCCGACCTTCGGCGCCTTGGTGAAACCCTTGGCCTGCACCAGCTGCCGAGTCCACATCACCTGCGGCTGGGCTGCCAACCTGAGCGTGACGGGCAGGTGCGGCCAAGTATCTGCCTCACCGACTGCTGCATGGCTTATCCTCGGCATGACCTGGCAGGCCACGAAGAAGAAGTCGATCGTGCGCCCAGGGAGGGCCTGCATGCAAGTCGGCACCGATGGCACAACCGCAACGCCATTGACCGAGTGCAGCCACGACAGCGAGCCCAACTGCTCGAGCTCCATATTGAAATCTCCTCCCACGATCCACGGCATCTGCAAAGTGTCGAGCACCTTCAGATACTGATACAACTTGAACAGGATGGCCAGGTTCTCTGGCGACAGCTGCTCGTCAACCCGCATATACAGAGAAATCATGGCGAAACCTCGCTTGCCACCGCAGTTGACGTGCGCCGCCACCATGCGCCCTGGCTCCAACGTTGGCCCTTCTAGCGCAGGGGGCCCTGTGATGAGCACACGCTTGGGCACCAAAACCGCCACGCCGCCCTGACTGCCAGTGCCCTGCCCAGGTAGCGCAGCCTCCCAGACACCGTGGTAGCCCTCGGCGAGCGCGTCCCGCTGGGCCTTGGCCAGGGCCCCTGGCAGCGCATGATGCTCCTGCACGGCGACGCACATGCTTGAACAATTCGCCAGGTAGTCAACCATGGGGCCGCCTGACGAGACATTGATAGTGGTGACACCGATAGACTCAGCCATTGCGATGGGCACGAGACACAGCCACAGCAGAAAACGAAAGGGCGCCAGGGCATCAGCAGGCAGCGACCGCCTTGTGCCGCTTGCGCCCGAGCTTAGCCATGATCTCCTCGATCCTGCGCTTGTCGCCTCCTGCACTGACGATCTCATCGACGAACTCGGCGCTGTCGGCCTCGTCCTGCTCCATCGCGTCACACTCCGAAGGCGGGCTGCCGCCAGGCGCCCGCTGGTCCTCAGCAGCGGCGGCAGCAGCCGCAGCGGCTTCGGCCCTCTCCCGCTGCTGCTTGACCTTGGCCTCCTCGCTGAGCATCTTGAGGCGCTCCAGGTCCTCCTTGAGGCGCTCCGACAACCCATGCTCGGCGCCGAGGAAGTTGAGCACCTGGTCGAGCCCCGCCAACGTTTGGCCGAGCCCGACGATCGGCTCATCCAGCGGCCCTTTGCCGTGCTCAGGCTGGGGGGGCAGCGGGGCCTGGCTCTGGAGCTGCCGCTGCTGCTCCGGCAACTCCAGCATCTGGGTGTCGAGCGACGCCAACTGCTGCTGCGCCGCCTGTTCCTGCTCATGCAGCAACGCCAGCTTCTCGCGGATCCCCACGAGGCGCCGCTGCTGGTCCTCCTGCAACTTCTGCTGCCTGCTGATCTGGGCTCCGAGGTCACGTAGCCTCTGGCCCAAGGGGCGCGCCGCCGCCAGCTTCGCCTTGAGCTCAGATTGCTCCTTGACGAACGCCTCCTTTGCACGAGCGAGGTGAGGATCGGCACTGCCCTCGACCGTCTTGAACAGCTCGCCCAACTCCCGCAGCCTCTGCTTGTCCTTATCGGATCCGCTGAGCTCCTCCTCGGCCTCCACGGGCGGGGCCTCCGCACGCTTGAGCTTCGCATTGGCGGCCGCCAGCTCCTGCTTGAGCTTCTGGACCTGCACCGAGTCCGCCCATGCAGAGAAGGACCTCCCTGGCCTGCGAAGCGACGGCAGCGGCGGCTCGCGATACTCCTTGAAGCAAAGCCCCTTGCCCAACTTGCACTTGGCGCAGGATGTGGCGTCGGCGAAGTTGAACCAGGGAAGGCCCTTGGGCCCGACGCAGCTCTTGCAGTACCATTGCCGCTTGCTCTGCTCCGAACGGTAGTGCTGTGGCGCCATCCAGCAGGCTGGCCTCGCAGGCACCGAGAGCAAGCCGCCGAAGCAGCGCAGGCTGGGCAGCAAGGCTGAAAGTGGGTGCCCAACTCCCACAGTGTAGGCGAACGGTGGTCTGGCCGCGGACTAGCGGTATCCGTGTGGTCCCCTGGGGCACCAATCATCTTGAGCCAAAATGGCTACGGAGGAGGAGGAGGAGGAGGAGGAGAGAGGAGAGAGGAGAGAGGAGAGAGGAGAGAGGTGAGAGGAGAGAGACCCTCCCCCTTCTCTCCTTCGAGGCCGCAGCCGCCCTGCGCAAGGGGGAGGGGGGCAGAAGAAGAGAGATCGGCCGGGGAGCCGCGCGCTGCTTGTTCCGGAGGGGCCGTCGCACGCTTTGCCGAGTCGCTCGGCCCCTCCCGTTGCTGCCAAGCAGCGCCAACACGAGTAACAAAACATGAAGAGCCTCTCACCACCGCCTCGCACCCGAGTCTCGAGGCTGCTACCCTCCTCTTCCCTTATTAGGAAAGGATGCAAATGCATAAGCACAAACTGTCGTAGGTCCGCGCGGGATTCTTGGATCGGCGCTGCCTCCCCCCCCCTGGCGCGCGAAGTGCCCCAAGGGCGGCGCCAGAGTCACCGCCAGGGGATCCAACGCCGATCCAAGAAATCCGCACGGACCCCCGAACATTTATTCCTATGTTGACTGTTATGTTTCTTCGAGTGGCCGACCTCCGACACTCCATGCTTCTTCGAGTGGCGAAAGGAGGATCCCAGACCTCCAGCGTCAGAGGCTCGAGCTCGGGGGGGGAGGGGGCGGGGGTCGCGAGGATGTGTTTGGTCAGTCTGCACTCTGTGGGCCTCCTGGAGGCTTCTTTGGTCTAGAGGTCACTGGGAGGGTGGGGCGAAGGGAGGGCACTCCAAGCTGTTCCACAAAGGGGGGTTCGGGGGGGGGATCGCGAGTGGAGGGAAACAGTTCGTGAACACCCCCCCTGCCCCCCAAACTCAATGTTGGCACGCGCGGGGGAGACTACGGTCGAGGTGCAACTCATCAGACCCACCGCCAACTTTGAACACTGGGAGCATGAGTGTTCGCTAATTTTTCCGAGACCTGTCGCGTGTGGAGTAGAATGGTCTTCGCGGGGCATGGGGTGGGGTGGGGGGGGGCGGCACGAGCCGTCGGGCGGGGTGGCGCACGGAGGTGCCTAGGAAGCGTTGCAGAGTAGATGTGTCTGTCTACGTGGACGGGTTTTGCCCTTCGTGAGCCTGGTGGAGCTTCTCGTCGCCACGGCACGGCTCCGATGGAAGTTCAGATCAGAACGCACCCCAGGAGATCCGAGGAAAGATACTTCAGGGAGGAGAGCCCGAGCCTCTGGCGTAACGGTCTTGTCAATCCCAGCGATTCTTCCTGAATCGTTTTGAGGCTCTGAGATGATCACAAACGGGGTCCGGAACGGGAAGCTGCACCCAGGCCCCAGGGAAGTGGTCGAGACCTCTGAGGCCCGCGGCTCGAGGTCGAGACGGCCAGTGTTTCGCCATTTTCGGCATCTGGAGTCCGCTCTTGGGCACCGTCACAGGACGACTCGGGATGAGAAATTGGCCCCGGGGAAGGGGTCGAGCAGGGGCCATGGATGTTCACGGCGACGGTAAACAGGAAACCGAATTACGCAGGGAACCGACAGTGAAACCGAAACCAACAGACTGAACGCATCCTAGGAGGGCGCAGAAGCGCGACAGCCGACCGAACCGAACAGACCGATCGCAGCCGACTGCGACACGGCTGACCGAATCGCGTCGCGGAAACTCTTGGAGACCTGTCTCGACAGGCAGACTGTCAAAAGCCGCCCAAGGGCTGGGGTCGCAGGCCTCTCGTACTGGGAGCTCCCCAGCCACACCACCATGTTCATGCGGGTCCCGGCGCCGACCCCGTCGAACGCATGCCGCTTGAGCCCGGAGTGCATGACGGCCGTGCCCAGCGGCAGCGACGCCATGTCAACGGTGAGCTCGTGCCGCCGGTACGTGGCAGTGCCGAACTCCCCGCAGAAGTGTGGCGGTGCGCACAAGGGGGTGGCAGGGTGCTGCTGGGGAGGGGGTCAGGAGCTCCCACGAGAGCTTCCCAGAGGGCGAGAGGGTCTCCAAGATGCCCCCCGCCTTCCTAGAAGGCCGCCCCATCTGTTTCCGCTCAGGCTGCGACCAGCCGCGGCCACGAGGACCCCACCTCCCAGGAGGCCCAGGGCGCGAAGAAACCGTCGGAATCCTGTGCGCCACCCCCTCGCGCACGCCGCCAGGAAGTACAACATGCTAGCGTTGAACTCCCCCGCCGCGGCGTCTGCGAGAGCGATGTTCGCTGTGAAGACGGAAGAGTCCTGGTGCGCGCCGATCGGCCCCCGCGGCCCGGCGTGGCCATCTCGGTGGCCAAAGGCGGCCTGCCCAAAGCCGCGAGGGTGCTCCTCCATGTCTGGCGCGTAGTGCCTCACCTGAAGAAACACACACACACACATACACACACAACGTGTGCATAAACATCAACTTTCGGAGGTCTGCGCGGATTGTATGGATCGGCGCGCGCCAGGGGCTGCGCCAGGGGCACCGCCGGGCGGGTCCAGCGCCGACCCAAGAACTCCGCGCGGACATCCAACGGTTCATGTGTACGCCTCTTCTTCTTATTACTCATAGTAGTTTTTAATATTATTTTGACTCTTATTATCATTAGTAGTATAATCATTATTATGTGTAGTACTATGATTGTTACTCTTATTCCTATTATTAACATCATTATTATTATTATCATTATTATTATTATCATTATTAGTATTATTATCAATATTACTACTGTTACTACTACTATCATTATTATTATTATTATTATTATTATTATTATTCGTAGTAGTAGTAGTAGTAGTCGTAGTAGTAGTAGTAGTAGTAGTAATAGTAGTAGTAGTAGTAGTAGTAGTAGCAGTAGCAGTAGTAGTAGTAGTAGTAGTAGTAGTAGTAGTAGTAGTAGTAGTAGTAGTAGTAGTAGTAGTAGTAGTAGTAGTAGTAGTAGTAGTAGTAGTATCATCATCATTAATAGTATTATTAGTAGTAATAATAATAATATGTGTGTTACTATGTTTTTTCTTTTGCTGCTTATTCTTCTTCTTCTTCTTCTTCGATCACCAGGTGCGCGTTGGCGGAGTCCAGATTTGGGAGGGCGCCAGCTCTTCACCGTATACACCGATCCTGGCCAGGCTCACCCTAGGCCCAGGGTCGCTGCGTGCGCTCTTCTGGCCTGGCCAGGGAGGCATGGCGTATGTACACCAGAAATGGGCCCAGGAACAGACTGGCCAAGATCGGCGCAGATGTACAGCCGACGCCCTCCGAGGATTGCCGACGTCCCTGTCGCGCAGCAGCGACCTCGCCAGCGGGGCCAGGTACCCATCGGACAACTCCTGAGCGATCCACTGCAGGCCCAGGGCGTCCAGCGGGTCGGGGGAGGGGACCGAAGGCTCCCCCGCGGCGCCCGCCTGCGCCGCGTCGGCCGCGGCCCAGGCCTCAAACCGCCGCACCTCCTCCGCCAGCATGCGGCAGAACGGCGGCGCGAGCACCTGCAGGCGGAAGAGGCCGTCGGCCATGGCCAACACTGGCCCGCCCGGGGCGGGCCCGGCGTCGCTGCACGTGCTCCCCGCGCCTGCCCGCATCCCGGGGTGGTGCCCCTCCGCTTCCGCCTCGGCCACGGCCCGCAGCAGCTCGGGCGACAGCCACTCGGGCCGAAGCGGCCCGCCGCCCAGGAGCTCGGGGTGCAGGGGCCTGTACGCCAGCAGCGTGCGCAGCCACAGCGGCACCAGCTCGCGCGCGTCGGCGCGGTGGAGGCCCTGGAAGGACCGCAGGCCGATCTCGTGCCAGCCGTCCAGCGCCCTCCTCTGCAGCTCCGCCGGCCGCCCGCGGAGCAGCTCCTCCTCGAGCCGCAGGCCCTTGTCGAGCCACAGCGCGCCGAACGCCCCCGGGGGCACGCCGAGCGCCGACGGGGGCGAGAGCAGCGCCCGCCGTGCCAGCCCAAGCGCCAGCCCGAGGCCCCTGTCGGCCGCGGGCGCCGACGCCCAGCCCGGCGCGAGGGTGTGCTCCGGGAGCAGCAGGGAGCCGTTGCCGGCGGCCACCAGCACGTGCCTGCCGTCGGCCTCCGCAGACACGGAGGGCGCCGCGCTCGAGCCCCAGTCCGGGGGGACCTCCACCCGCACCGCGAGGGCGTTGGCGCACCCCGGCAGCGCGATCCGGGCGATCACCTTCGGCACTCCAGGGATGGGGCTCTGGGGCGAGGAGGCCCCGAGCGGTGCAGGACTCAGCCAGGAGCCCCTCTGCTGCCCCGTGGGGTCCCCAGTCTGTGTGTGGGGGGGGAGGGGGGGGCGATCAGGGTGAGGGAGGGGGCGAGAGGGAGGGGGACGATTAGGGGTGGGGACGACAGGGGGTGGGGCGGGAACATTGACCTGGTTGGCGATGCATCGCCGATCTTAGCATCGCCGATGGGCCCCCGACAGCCTGGAGCCCGTCTCCTGCCCCTTGGGGGCCCCGTCCCCCAGGGGCCCTCTCCGAGCCCCCGAGTCGCCGCGCCGTCCTGCTCCCGCACCGAGCGCAGGTACTCGGGCGGCTCCGCCCGCAGCCCAGCGATCTCCGCCGCCAAGTCGCCGCGCGAGGCCCCCGCGGGTGGCCGTGCGAGGGCAGGCCCGTGCAGCAGCACCGCCAGGCGTCGCCACATGCGGCCCGCGCCCGCGCCCCCGGCCAGGGGCTGGCTGGTGGCCCTGGAAAGCCGGCCCCTCGGTGCGAGCTCGGGGCGCGAGGAGGGGGGGACGGAAGAGGGGTTGGAGATGGAGGGGGGCGCTGAGGACTGAGGGGACATGGAAGAGGGGCTGGATTTGGGGATCGCAGCGCGGTGAAGCAGCGTGTAGACTGCGTGTGAACTGCTCCTGGCTGCGACGCTCGAGCAGCAACAACAACAACAACAACTTGTTTCGCCTCTGCCGATTCGGCGGGGAGGGGAGCGGGGGGGCGGAAGGCCGGAGGCACGAGGAAGGAGAGGGAGGCGAGGGAGGAGGGGGGAAGGCGGGGGAGGGGCCCAGAGGGACGAAAACCTCGGTTTCCTCGGCCACCTAGCTTCGCGCACTGCCACCCGCGATGCGCGATGTTCTTCGAACCCTCGCGCCCTCGCGCCGCCACCCGTGCAGAGGGGCAGCTCCCCAGCCCAGACTGCGACGCGCAAATATCCTCGTGCCCCAGCAGGCGACATAGATCTCGGCGGTCGAACCTCCCTGCTGGACACTCACATCCAGAATGGACGTATACAGCTTGCAGAGTTTGAGGTCGAACCGTCGTTTTGGAGAGTTTCGATTCTTCGGGGAGGGACAGAGGTAGAAGAAGGGAGGGAGGGAGGGAGGGAGGGAGGGAGGGAGAGGGACGGTGGGGGGAAGGAATGTGGGGAGGGGCGACCACTGCGGGGCGCCTTCCGCACCCATCTCTCGAGGGCGGCCCGACAAGGGCCTGCAGAGGCCGAACAGTTCTGGACAAAACGAAACCAGCGCTACGCGCTTTTTGCTCGATCCTCCCTCCCTACTCCCTACTCACAACTCCCTCCTCCTCCTCCTCCTCCTTCTTCTTCTTCTTCTTTTTCTCCTCCTCCTTCTACTCCTCGGGGGGTGGAGAAGGAGGAGGAGGAGGAGGAGGAGGAGGAGGAGGAGGAGGAGGAGGAGGAGGGGGAGGAGGAGGAGGAGGAGGAGGAGGAGGAGGAGGAGGAGGAGGAGGAGGAGGAGGAGGGGGTCCTCGTGGTGCCCCAGGAGGTCTCAGGGAACCATCGGGGACCTCTGGAGGCCTCCTGGGGCCTTTCTGGAGATAATTGAGATCGGGCAAACCACGGGGTGAGGCGAGTGAGGATGAGCCGATGGGAGGAGAAATGAAAAAAAGGGATGGAAGGGGGAGGTGGGCGGGGAAACAGAGGAAAAGGGGAGATCACCATGGAGAAAAAATGGCCCCCAAGGCTCTCTCGACCAAATTTCCATGGGCCAGCAATGACTTCTGGACAGTTGTTTTATGGTCTCGGGCCTGACACGGGCTTCCAGAAATCCATAACGATGGAAGCAAAGCCGTCTCGACTGCGTCGCGACGCCAAAATCTGTCGGTCACCATGGAGAAAAAATGGCCCCCAAGGCTCTCTCGACCAAATTTCCATGGGCCAGCAATGACTTCTGGACAGTTGTTTTATGGTCTCGGGCCTGACACGGGCTTCCAGAAATCCATAACGATGGAAGCAAAGCCGTCTCGACTGCGTCGCGACGCCAAAATCTGTCGGTCCCTGCGTCCCTCTTATCTTCATCTCTCTCTCTCTCTCTCTGTATCGCCCGTGCCTGGTGCAATCCCGCGCGTCCCCTCCCACCCCACCCACCCTCGCCCTCTTCCTCCTCCTCTTCCTCCTCCTCCTCCTCTTCCTCCTCCTCCTCTTCCTCCTCCTCTTCCTCCTCCCCTTCCTCCTCCTCGTCGGTTTCATCCTCCTCCTGCTCCGCCACCTTTCTCGTCGTCCTCATCGTCGTATTCCTCCGCCTCCTCCTGTTCCTCTTCTTCCTCCTCCTCCTCCTCCTCCTCCTCCTCCTCATCCTGCTGTCCGTCGCCATTTGGGCTCAAGATATCTGCACCTTGGGGGCTCCGCACCACCGTGCATGCAGGGATACCGCCAGCCCGCGGCAGTCTTCCAAGCTCTTCAGGGGTCCCGCGGCGCTCGGAGGTTCAGCGGCCCCAACAGGCGGTCCTGGGGCGACACTGTGGCTTAGCGAGCTGTTTCCTCCCTCCCTGCGCCCTGTTGCAACTGGCAAAGGGTTGGGGCCCGCAGAAGTGGCAGTGCAAGTCCTGTGTGCATCCCAAGTCAGGCGAACCCTTCCTCAACTTTGCGGAGGACAGCACATGTTTCTCATGTGGCATATCGGAGTCGTCTTGTTGTTGCGGACATGCCACGCCAGCGGTCCCGTCTAAGCAAGTGCCATGGGTCAAGCAGTTGGCATGGGCTCAAGGGCCGCCTGGCAGTGCTGATGCGCAGCTGGCCAAGTTCCAGGCGCAGGTCAAGCGTTTGGAGGGCGAACTCAAGAAGGCGAGTCTACAGCAGTCGCCAGAGGGGGCCTCCTCAACGTTCTGCTGGGACGGTGGCGGCGAGTGCGACCTAGCCTCGAGCAAGGACCGCATCGCCACCATCGAGAAGGAATTCAACACCATCGCGATGCTAGAAGGCGAGATCTGAAATAACACCAAGGCCGACCTGCGCGCCGAGCGCCAGGATATCGAGAAACGCCTGCTGGAGTCGCAGCCTGTGGCATCGCGGCTGCGCGCCCGTTCGCGCAAAGTGGACGAGGCTGAGCAGGAGCTCACCACGTCCTAATGGGCGGCAGGACGCCTGCCGCCAGCGCGTCGCGGACGCGGAGCAGGCGCGCAATGAAGCCGAGTCCCGCGTCGCTGAGCAGGAGCAGCTCCTGGCGCGGCTCAAGACGCAACGAGGCGGCGCTGGCGCCCTGGGGCGCGGCGCCAGCGGCGCCGCTGTCGGGGGCGTCAGAGGCCGCCGCCCCACACAGCTGGATGCAGACAAAAGGCGCGGCGTCTCCAGGAGCCAGGCCTCGACGAGCTCGTCGCCTAGCTGCCCGACCTGCGCGGCTTCGCCGCCAAGCTGCGCGAGCAGGTCCCGCAGTGCTCTCAGCCTGCCCCCCCTCGCGTGGCCGGGGCCGCCCGCGGGGCGAGCGACGGCGGGCGTCGCGCCCGCTGCGATCGAGCTGGCGCCCACTGCGGCCCACGAAGCCCACGGTCCTGACGCGTCGCAGACGCGTGCCGAGATCGACGCCAGGGGGGTGCCCCCACGTGCCGACGACGAAGAAGTTCGAGTGCTCCACGGGCTGCTCCGACTCGCGTTTGGCAGACGGAGCGGTGGGCAAGCTGCGTCGGCGTTCTCTCCTTGTTAATGTGGTTGGTTTGCTCCTTATTGCCATGATGTCCTTCAACTACATCGCTGTGAACGAATCGCTGCGCCTGGAGTTGCCGACCGCGGAGTCTACTGGCGAGCCGTGCGACGTGGGACTACCATCCCTGGCTTCGCTGGTCATGATCGGCCTGACCCAGAGCGTTCTCGTACTGTCTTGGAAGGCGACCCCTTGGAGACTGGTCGGCGCGCTGGGTTTGGAACGTCAATCGTGAGCGCCAGGAGGATAAAGACTCCCTGCGAGAATGGCGTGAGGAATGGCTCACGGCAGAGCCAAATTTGGACGACCAGCGGGAGCCCTGGGACCTGGCCGAGGTGGTGTCGGAGGGGCGCCGCGCGGCCCGGCGTCGAGGGGCTCTCCGTCGCCAGAACTTCATCAGGTACATGCGCCTCCTCACCCAAGATGCGTGGAACGCGGTGGTCAACCACCGGCTGGGCCGAGCTCGACTAGGATGGTCGAGAGCCTCCGAGCACTACTAGACAACGCACGGGCTTCAGTTCCTCCTGCGGGGCGGCAGCAGCGTCTTCTGGGAGGCTTGGATGCGGGCAGTCCATCCCTGGCGGCGCCCTCGCTGATGCCACTGTCTACTCCGAGCTCGACGCTGGCGGCCTCCGCTCTCATCCCCCCCCCCCTTTCGGGCCCCAGGCCTGTTCTCGGAGAGGCCGCCCTGCCGCGCTCGCGCCAGCGAGGCGCGCGCCCCCGCGGCGGCGGTGCAGAGCGGGCTGGGCGGCGCTCGCCCGCGTGGCTCGGGCGGAGGCGGGGAGCGGAGGATGGCGCCCAACGTTGGCACGCGCGCTGGTAGATGACGAAGTGGTTGGAGCACCCGAGGTGCTCAAGTTGGATCAGCCACTATCGACGCCCATGGGTGGACGCGCAGCCCCCCTGCAGATCGCCACCATCAGCAGGGGCATCTGGCAGGGCGCTCGCACTACTTTGGAATGGAATGCTAGTTTTGGGCGCAGATTCGATGAGGCCTTCGTTCAGGAGACGAGGTTCCCCGACTCTGAGGCTGCTGGGGGAGCTCGGCAGCGGCGCCTCGGGCAAGGGGCCTCGCCCTTGTCCTGCCGCGACGGACGGGCAAGGAGCGCCTGGCCGTCAGTGGGGGCGTGGGGCCATGCATAGGCACGCACATTGGAGCGCATGGCGGCACTGCGCATTGCAATTCCCCGAGAATGGAGCCACAGCATTGTGGCCAGGAAGATTCATCTTCGACAAGGTTACGTGATCCGTGCGATCTCGTTGTACATGGTCACCTCGATTGGATCGACGGGCGAGAACTGACTTTGCATGCTGGGGTGGCACTGATTGTGGGGCAGTGCCCCGTGCCGTTCACTATTGGAGCCGAGTGTAGCGCGGAGGCCAGCGCCCTTGCCTCCGGCGGCTGGCGCCGAGAGGCGGAGGGCACCATTGTCAACCCTGGTGTCCTGGCCGGGGGGGCAATGGGCATAATTTCTTCGTCATCTCCCGTATGTTGGCCAACCGCGTCGCTGCCCCGCATGCTTTTGCTGGTGCACCTTCTGGCGCGCGCGATCAAGCCTGCTGCGCTATGGAGCGGACCTGAGACCATCCCGCCGTCTGGAATGAGGATCCGCGACGGCCCTTCTCAGTGGCCAAGAAGGGCCCCGACCCCGAGGGCTCCGCCAGGCCGCGCGCGCAGTCCACCGAGGAAATGCAGCTGGAGAAGGCCGAAATGATCGAGTCCTCGCAGCGCTTGCAGTCGGCACGCGCTGGGTGGTTTGACTTGGCGGAGCGCCCCCTCATCAGAACCCAGCAGATCGATGTGAAGGGCGCTCGTCATTGTGGACGCGGCATGGGCATTCGC